CCCCAAAACCCCAAAACCCCAAAACCCCAAGATGATTATTCATGTTATATTACTAAAATTAGTCAATTTAATCATAATAAATCATATTCGTGGAAATAATTAGGGTTGTATGATCATAAAATCTTGAAATACCTATTAATAATCTACTTAAGTTTATCGCAAATGTTCCATCTATTGTTATATACCCAGAATTATCTTTCCTCGGGTTACTCCTCTCTATTCTTAATAACACTAAGATTATTAATAGAACTATACCTTCTAGACTTCAACTAGGAATTCATTAAACTGCTATTCTCATCTTCATCTTCTCTAATCTCTCTTAATTTTGATATATTTTACTGAGAATCTGCTTCTTTGATAACTCTATACCCCAAAAATTAGTTGATATCATTCTATTCATATATTCTTAGATGTGACTGCTAATTTTCATTTTCACAGATAAACATCAACTGCATAGTCTGAATTCTCTAAACAGTAATCATAATGCTATTATTGCTGTGAATGCATTTTTAATCAATCTTTGTCAAAATCTCGAGGAATTCATAATCATTCTCTACTACTAAAGCCAGCCAATTACTCTTATCCGAAAACGCCATGTAATGCACTTTGTTGAAATTTGCTATATAGCCAAAGTCAATTAAATATTTAAGGATGAACTATTTGTGGTTATGATGAGGGACCCCGACTATAATCAAGCTCACAAACTATTAATAGTCTTTTAAGCTCTCTTACATTCTCTGCTTCTTACTATTAGCTTGCTTTCTGGAATCATCAAACTTATAATCTTCAATTGATCTCTTTTACTCTTACAGATCTTACTGTTAATGCAATCTTGAATTATGTAGAAGAGGACTCCTACTTTGATGCTTACCTAATGAATCTCTGTTTAAAAGTCGTTTTGTAGATATAAGTCCTTGCATTTACTATCTTCGACTACTTTCACCACCAAAGCCAAAATTTGCAGTAACTTTAGTGCTCTCAGAATCTTAAGCTAGGTTGAAATCTTTAAGGATATAGGGAGAAGCATCTTGCTGATAGGTTTTAGACTCCTGCCAATCAGTCAGAGTCTTTGATGTGTAGCCGATTTCATGCACAGTGTCTTTGCCAAATCTCAGTTTGTTCTTTCTGTATGCACTGAAATTTTCGTTTTCTTTATTAGGTTAATCTCCACCTAATGTTTGCATCCTTGGGTTGATTATCTTGTGTATGCTTGATTTGAATTATAGAGAAGTAGAGGCATCATCCGTGCCATTTTCAGTTGCTTTGGTTTCTACTCCTGATTTCTTGATCATTGGATTAAAGCTAAACTCCGTGCTCATTGGAGGAGGAGTCCCAATCGACTTGTCCTTATTCTTCATTTTTAGTTTGAAGAAGGTGTCCTCCATGTCTAATATAGCATCTTTGTTTAGTTTTTAGTACTCTCTTATATAATCTTCGTTCATCTATCTTACTGCAATTTGAATTGTTTATATTTTCTCTAATATATTGTTTTTAAATTTAAAACTGAATTTATTCTATAAATTTTTTAATGTTAACAAGTTTTTATTATTCTAAGTTAAATCAATTATCATTGTAACAGTAGGTTATGTATCATCAGAAATAATCATCAACAAAATCTTCTTCATAGGCATTACTGCTTTCTTCTTCAGTACCTATTACATTGGTGGCTACTGGCTTTGAAAATATACTGCTTGCTGGCTACTGCTTCGGCTGCTCTTTCTTTGGTGAGGGTTGTCTATTGCTTTCCTCGATGAAATCTTCATCATAGTCATCAACGATATTATCACTGATGGCATCGCTTTTATCAGCAGATCTTCTGAGAGAATTGTTGCGATTCAGAGCATTGTTACTATTGTTGTTAAGAGCAGGTAGACTAGAACCATATAGATTAGAGGATGGATTGTTGTTTGCATTACTATTGTTGTTTTTATTGTCGCTTCCAAAGAGATTAGTTTGGAATCCTGAAGGCTGCCAGCCTCCATAATTATTAGTTGCAGGTGGGTTTGGTGAAGGCGAGAATGTATTAGCATTGTTTAAGGTATTAGTAGTAGGAGCACCGAAATTATTGGTGGTAGTACTTCCAACGTTCGCTGTGGTATTTGTACGTTTCGCAAATGGATTTGTTGAAGGTTTGAAAGTTGGCTTGGTGTTTGAAGTCTATTACTTTTATATTGATGCCTGCTCAGTTGCCTAATTATTATTATTTGCTGTTGTACCAAATTTATTATCTTAAGCAGGTGTTTTTGAGGCAGCATTATATGATGAATATTTCTCCTCTTCTTAAGTATTCTTAACTGGTGACAATATCGATGATGGTTAGTGCTACTAATGTGTCGTGTTTTTATGACTCATAGCAGATGCTTTGGGCTCATGTACTGGTTATTTCTTCTCTTCCTTCTTATGTGGCTCCTCCTTAATGTTTTTGGTAGCTGCTGTTGTAGTATGTGATCTCTTGGGTGATTCTGGAGCTTTCTTTTTTTCAGCAGGTTTTTCATCACGCTTCCTTTCAGCTTGATGATGCTTATCAGAATCTGAGGACTTCTTTTTCTCTATGACCTTCTCAGTGGTGTGGATCTTATCTTCATGATTGTAATTTGTTGGCTCGTATCTCACTCCTCTTACTCGATCTGCAAGCATAGGATCATCTATAACTCTACTCTCAGGAGCAGTCTTCATTAGTCCTCTAATGTTTCTTTTTATCTCCTCCTACTCCCTTTCTAACTCAGCCCAAGCTCTCTTTCTCTATAGAATTCCCTCTCCATCACTGTCATCATCATCCTCAGCATCACTTCTAAGTCCCCCTTGGCCATAGAAATGATGATGGCTTACCTTTTGATTATACACTTCATGCCTTGACATTGCTGGATGCTCAGATCCACTACCACTGCCTCGATACACAGTACTCATGTTATTCTAAAGTTTATTGTTTAGTATTGCTAGCTCCTTGCTGAAATGCTCTTCTTAGCCGAGCCGTTTTTACATTATACTGATCTCATTTTTGAGTTTTTCATATTCAAATTGATACTTCTCCCCTTCTCTTCGTCTTTCATCTTCATATCTCTCTTTCAGTTTCTTATATTCTTTGTCCTTATTCTCCCTGATTTTGATAATCATCTCCCTAGTCTCATTCAACTGCATTCTCAAGTTTTCTATTAACTAGCTCTAGTCCTCCTTGTATTGTGTACCCTGAGATTTGGTCTCATCCAGCAATTACTTAAGTAATGTATTCTCATGTGCTAGAGTGTTGTTTTCCTTATCTCGACTCATGCATACCTCAGTCTCTCTTCTTAAATTTTCATTCAAGATCCTCAATTATTCCTTCTGGTCATGGCAGTCTTTAAAAAGCTGCTAGTTTTCTCTGCGAAGCTTTTTCACTTCGTCTTCCATTTCTGCGAAATCCTTGATTATTTTAACATTTCTATTCTCAACTATCGAGATGCGATCCTTCTCTAGCTTTATCTTTTGCTCATCCTCTTCAATTTAAAGCTTGCGGCGATGGTATTCAAAGTCTTGGTCCTAGAATTTACGCTAGAACTCGCTTTTAAAGTTTTCAACTGACTCTAGATTATCTTTTTAGAGTTTAATTCTATGTACTTCGATTTCTTTTATTTTCAATTCATAGTCTTTCTAGGTTTTAGAGAGGAGATCTTTTTCATTTCTTAGCATCTATTGCTCTAACTCGATAGTCTTTTTTATTTCATTTTCTCTAGACCTCATTACCTCCTCGTCTCTTAGTTACTTTTATCTGTATTCAAAGCTAATTTTATCGAGATCACGTTCTTTATTCTTGATTCTGTCCCAAGCTTCATTTTCACGCACTTTTAGTTCTTTTATCTTATCTTGCTGCAATTTCTCAAGATCATCTCTATATTCCTATAACTTCTATCTGTATTTTTAAGCCTCATCCATTCTTAATTTTGAAAGTTCGAATTCCTTCAGCCTTCTAATCTCTGACTCCAAGTCCATTTTGTATTGCATGTCACACTCTTATTTATACTTAAGCATTCTTTCTTCTAGTGCTTTGAATGGCATCATTCTCTCGATTTCAGCCTTCTCCATAAAGTTATAGTCAATTTTCCTTAGTTTTTAGTCTAAAGTCATTGATTCTTCCCCAGCCTCCTCAGTTTAAATATAGCATGAAGTCATGTTTGGCCTAACTGAGCCGTTTTGTTTTATGATTTAGACCAAGTCGAGGAGTAGAGGGGTTGATTCTCTTTGAGATGACTCAGCACTGTTTATATAATGCTCATCTTTATCTAGTTTCATTACTTCTAGAATTTCAGCTTTACTTAGCACTTCTTATTGCAAGCCACATTCAGGAAGAAAGACTGATAAAGCATATGGCATATCACACTTCTGGAACAGATCTGCCACCATTGACACAGCAAGCTTAAAATTCAAACGATTAGTTTGATCTTTTAAATTAATTCCTGCCTTGTCATTTTTCAACTTAAGTTATTCGTATAGTCTTCCTCTCATGTTAGATTTCAATCCATCGAGGATGCCTGCTTTCTTCATGTTTTCATAGAGTCTTCTCTTTAATTCGCTTTCCTAATAGTTTCCATTTGACTCGTCTGAGTAATTTTCCTTGTCTTAGGAGAATGATTATATATGCTGCTAAGAGTTCATTTCTTAAAATATTTAAATTTATTTCAAATTTAATCCTATTTCAAAATTAACTACCCATGGGGTTTTGGGGTTTTGGGGAGATCGGAAGA